GAGGAGGAGGAGGAGGAGGAGGAGGAAAGGAGCAGAGGATAAGAACCAATGGGCCCAGTGTATAAAAGCACTTCTGTGAGTCTGATTTGAGACATGTGACTGGGTGTCATCTTGTGTATGAGGCCACTTTGTGCTGCTATAATAAAATACCCATAGAGAAAAAAGGGTTATTTAGCTCACAGTTTTGGAGGCTGAAAGTCCAAAGAGCATGGCACAAGTCCTGGCAAGGAGCCCTCTGGCTGTACCACATCATGTGTGTATCTCTGTGTCTCTTTTAACCACCAGGATTCAACATGGAGTCTTATCAAACCTAATCACTTTCCAAAGGCACCACCTCTAAACAACGTAGTTGGATTAAGATTCCACCCTCTTAATTCTGTTAACATAGATACTGAGATTAAGTTCCTGCCTAAATTCAGGGGTGGGTGACCTGAGGGGTGTTGTGATTTAAACCGTAGCAACATTTTTGTCAAGGCTGACTGCCCCAAAACAACACACAATCATTTGCAAGAAGGAAAGAGGCTGAGCAGGTGGTCAGATTCAGAATCACGGGTTCAAAATACACGGAATAACTGTACCCCCATGGGGGAGCAGTCGTGAACCCAGGTGCCTCAGGATCAGGCTGGGTAGCAACTCTAAACTGTAGACAGGATTTAGGGTGGCAGCAGGTGAGCCAGGGGAGAGGAACTACACAGACTGAGGGTGTGATTTGAGTGACAAGGAGTCAAGCATGTCATCACAGGTGTAGGTTTTGTCTGAGCAGTTACTACCCACCCAGGCTGAGGGTTTTCTTGGCAGCTACCTATGCCAGGTTTTAAGGGTTCTGTGTGAAGAAGGGCACAGCAGGAAGACTTAGTCCTTAGCAGTGACCCTGACATTGATGCCAGCACAGATAGACTTCTACCTCATGCCTGCTAGGAGCTGTGAGGCAGCTGATGTGTCCTCCACAGCTACTTCCCCAAGATTTGATCTGGACCATTTTAGTGAAACCATCCATAAAGAGACGAAAGTGCTTCTCCCAAAGGACTAAGCAGGGGGAATCCCTGCCCCTGGTGTTGCCTCTGGCTGTGTCCCCGGCTCTCTTGTCCATATATTCTAGGTTGTGTCATCTGCAAAAAGATTCTGCTAACCTCTGCTTTTAATGGATTTTTTTCTTTTTTTTTTTTGGTACTGGGATTGAACTCAGGACCTTGTGCTTACAAGGCAGGCACAGTGCCACTGAGCTAAATCCTTCGCCCAATGGAATGTTTAATCTATTTCAATTTAACATGATTAGTGATAAAGCAGGGTTTATATTTGCCGTTTCATCGTTTGTTTTCTTCTTTTCTCTATTCCTCCTTTATGTTAAGTAGATATTTTGTAGTGTACTATTTTAATTTCTTTATTTTTTAAGTTATTTTCTTAGTGGCTCCTTGAGGGATTACAATTAACATCTTGGTTTAGAACAGTCTAATTTGGGATCAATACTAATGTACCTTCAATATTGTACTAAAAATTTGTTTCTGTATAATTCAGATATCTCCCTGCTCCTTTATGTTGTTCAAATTATATAATTATAGACCTGTCAATGTAGATTTTTTTCTTTCTTAGCCCCCCCTCTTCTTCCCTCTTTGTTTCCTTTCTTTTTCTCTGTCTTGTCTCTGTCTCTGACTCTGTCTGTCTTTCTCTCTCTGTCTCTCTTTCTTTTGAGACAGGGTCTCGCTCTGTTTCCTAGGCTGGCCTGAAACTCCTGGGCTCAGGGGATCTTCCTGCCTCAGCCTCTTGAGTAGCTGGAACTCCAGTCATGCACCACAATATCTGGCTCACAGATTTTAATTATTGCTTTATGAAGCTGACTTTTGTGTGAGCTAGCATAAACAAAAAAGTTACAAAGAAAAATACATTTATGTTATCTTTTATATTTGTTTATGTGGCTACCTTTACTGGATTATTTCTTCATGTCGTTTCAAGTTTCTGTCTAGTGTCCTTTCATTTCAGGTTGAAAGATTCCCTTTAGTTTTTATTATAGGATATATTTATTAATATGATGGCTTTAGTTTTTCAATTAGGAACATTTCGAAACTAATTCCATAAAGTCGGTACTCTTTGTTATGAACTCTCTGCTTAGTTAGCCCCAATGGTCAGTTCATGATTGGACAGTGAATTTAAATGCCTGGAACCAATAAATCTCCCAGACTTTCCTAAGGGGCTCTGGGTACGCACTAGAACCAGTCAACTGCTGTGACTGCATTGTTGTTACCAAGAGTCAGCCATTTTGCTTTTTGTTGTTGTGTCTTTGTTCGGAGTAAGCACTCCCTCAGATTGCTGCAGTACTTTATTTTGTACAGTTCTGAAAAGTTATTCTGACCATTTTTTCCCTTTTTCCCATGGCCTTTATGGAAGCGAGAATTTTTGCAAGCTCATACTTTGCGATTTTCCACTAAGTTGAGTTTTTAAATATCTCTCTATGGTAACTGCTAATCTCTATGCTAGCCTTTCTCCATTAATCTGTTTTGGTGATGTAGGAATTCCTATACCTATACTATTCTCCACGGTAAACTGGAAGCCACTTATTTTTTTCCCCACATGCTATGAATTTACTTGTGAGAGCTGATAGATCATCGTGTGGACTTTATTTTTTCCTATTTAGGATTCTGGCTCTTCAGGAAAACTTCCTTCTTCAATTTAAAATGGATGTAAGTAGTGACCTTTCTCTAGATGGGTTTATATCATTTTTGTTTCTCTGTGGATTTGGGAAGGAGGGAAGAAATGGAGACATCCACTGCCTTTGCCTTAATTAATTTAGAGACTGACATGGTTCAGAGTGGAATCCAGGGGTCTTATGGGTCATTGACTCAGTTTTTAAAAGTTGCCTGAGCCCTTAGAAAACTGTACAGTGCTGGGTTGATAGAATGTTTTCACCATGCACAGGCCAGCTCTGCTGAAGAAAGGAAGAGGGATTTTGAGAAGATCTTTGCCCACTATGACATTGTAAGTGCGTCTCCTTGTGTCGTGCTGGCTGTCACCACACAGGCAGCCTGTTTCGCCCCTGGGTGGGGGAGCCCTAAGCACAAAGAGCCATCTCATATGGATGTTGCTAGGTCAAGCCACCCTCTACTTCTCTAGATATTTTCTGAGAACTAAGTGAAAATTAACAAAGAAGTATTTATATTAGAAAAGAAAAAAATTACAATTAAAATTTTGTTTTCTTTTTGCATGGAAACTAAGAAAAAGTTTCTGCTTCTTGTAGGAGGACTGAAAGCCATTTATAATAGTACTGTGCTCAAAAACAAAACAAAAAAATCCCAACATCCAGCCCAAAGAAATAAAGGCAAAGCTATACTTATTTGGCATAATAATAGAAATATTTTTCTGTAGGATCAGCTATTCAGTCATTCTTTAGAAGAAGGAAAATAATAATTTTAAAGCATCAAATTTGACAGAGATTACATTTTTTGAGAACAAGATCAGATAATATAATAATAATAAAAAAGAAGAACCAAGGAGAAAGGAAAGATTCTAAGAAATAGCTTCCTGAAGTTAATCAGGCTAAATATCTGTGTCATATTCTGAACAGAGAAGGGTATCACCTGAGGAAGGCAACATAGCATATTGGTTCTGTGACCAACCACGCAGGTTTGAGTTATGGCTTATCAGCCAGGTGGCCTGGGTAGTTCCCTACATCTCTGTAGTGTCCCTGTGCTTCGTTTTCCTTATCTGTGAAATTAGGGTGGTAAGGATAGCTATAATACCTATCCAATGGAATTGTGCTAAGAATTAAAGAATTTATGTTTATAAATTTTGACAAGAGTGCCTGACCTACAGCAAATATTATACAAGTGTTTGGTATATACTCTATGGGAAAAGAATTTTTATATACACTATGGGAAAATAATTTTTAAAATAGTATGCTAAAGATTCAATATTAAGAAAACATGAAGAAAATAAATGAACTTTAGAGAAGAAATTGCAATATTTTAGCATGTATTGAATTTTTTAAGACTTTTGTGTTTGAATGGAACATAAAATGTTCAGAAAATATTAAAGGCCTTATACACTCACCAGTCATTCTAATGTGCTTCTTAAATAGTTTCTCTTGATTTTTTTTTGTTTTTATTGCTGTTGTTTTGTACTGGGTATTGAACTCAGGACCTTGGGCTTACGAGGCAGGCAGAGGCACCACTGAGCTAAATCCCAAGCTCAGTTTCCTTGGATTTAAAGTCTAATTTTAGTAGCCATCAATCATTTACTAAGTCATAAAACAGAATTTAAACACATCAACCTTTCCTTCAAAGGATCACTATAATGCACAATTAACTTATCTGAATGGAAGTGTAATATTAGGGAAACAAAGTCAGCCTTTTGTTTGCTATATTAACGCTATTTTCAAGAGCCAAGGGACTCAAAACTATTGTTTCTTGTTTAATCATTCTTTTAGTTCGTGTAGAACATTCACATTCTGCATGGAGGATCTATGTTGGAGCATGCCCTTTCTAAGTCAGCTTGCAGTTAGTTATAAAAGAACACTGATTTGGTGGATTTGCCTAGCAAATGATATTTTGGTGATTGGATCGTTTTATTTTTCAGAGTAAAACTGGAGCCCTAGAAGGCCCAGAAGTGGACGGGTTTGTCAAAGACATGATGGAGCTGGTCCAGGTGATTTCTGGGGATAAGTAGATTATTCCCATCGAAGGCCCTGTCTCTGTTTTAATGGATTCCATTGTTTGTGGGAACCAGTGAGTCTACAGGTTAATGTCAGAGAAAAATGCTAAAATATGGTCTATTTAAGACCTTTGAAATTCTGTGCAACCCTACAAATCTCCCTTGCTTTCCTAAGATTGAGTTTTAATTAGAGAAGCATATTTTTATCATCATTGAAAAGTCACTTACTTCACCAAAATGGTGGGGGGTGCCACTTTACATCTTATTATTTTTTGATTCAGAAAGTCCTTTCCATCCTTCTGATTTGGTTATTAGAATAATTAAAAGTTTAAATTTAATTTCATTTAACAAATCTCATATTTGAGGTCCTAAGTTTTTTTCGGTAGGGGCTTCCTGATCACCTACCTTGAGATGGCCGTGTTACTTAAGAGGATACTTGAACTGTTGCTTGGGTTGGGGGCTGAAGTAATTTAAGTTATATTTACATTGCAGAGCTGTTTTATGTTGAGGAGACAATGTTTTAAAAAAGCATCTCCCTGCTGAACTATACTGGCTGGATGCATCATCTGGTTAAACAGATAATTTCCAACCCTTTGCCATGAGGCTCTGCTTATACAGTGAATGTAATATTTTGTAATCATGGGGATTTTATGTTTGTGTCCTGGTCTGCTGAGGCAACAACAAATTAGAGTTAGCAATTATGCACTGTTTTTGGAATTCCTGATTTTTTTGCAGATCTGCTTGAAATTATGTAGTCAGGCCACAGAAAAATGTTCAGATACCAATTTTTGCATAAGTCTCCAGTTGACACGCAGTAAATGAGGAAACACATATAATTCTTTCCAATGACTAACAGGATGACAGAACGATCTTCTGCGATTCCTAACTGGTGCTATTTCCATCTTAACTGGGCCCTTGATTTTGCTTTCTTGCCTTGGTTATTGCTCCTGTTGGAGGTGCCACAGCCTTTGGTGCAGCCAGAACAATCTATAGACATTTGCGTAGTGTTTCCTTTTGCACTGATTGCTAATGAAAATCCCTTTTTAGTCATTGCCTATTTAATGCCAAAATGATTTCTGTTATAGGAACTCAGACGGTATTGGTGGGGATATTAGAGATGCACAGCAGAAGGATTTGCTAAACTGCGGTTTGTTTTTAATGCAATGAATGGGATGGGGAGGCTGCTTAGGAAATCTCCCTGGCCTCCTCTGCCCGACAGAGCCAGGGCCAGTGTTGCTTTAGTATAGGTCTGGGGGCTTCAAATGCTTGCAGATCCCAGGCAGAGAGCCTGGCCTCCTTTGCCTCCCATGTTCTGCACACACAGCTAAGCAGCCAGTGCAGATGCCCAGCCAGGTGAGCAATCCATCATTAATGGGTCTTCCTTCCTTACTATCTCTTTTTTGTTGTTCTGTCTCTAACTTGTTAAACAAAAATTTCCCAACCTGAAAAGTTGTTGTTCCCATAAAGTTTTGCTGGCATCCCCTCTGCCAGGCGGTGGGAGGTAGCTGGACTCTGGTTGAGCTGAAATCTGTTAGAGAAACAGAATTTGGAACAGGGACTCCAAGGGGCCCTCGTGTTGGCCATGTCTGAGCCTCTTTTCTTTTATCACCTCATTGTTCTCCTTCTCCTTTTCCATGAAAAGAATGGATTAAGGACATTTTTGCAAATGAGAGAGCACAAAATGGAGGACAGCATTTTGGAGTTGATAGATCTGAGTTTTAATTCCAGATCAAGTTCTTCACCTTCTCTGGAACTTGAGTCCTTGCCCATAGAATGGGCACAGTGGCATCTGCTTCCAAAGTTATATGATGACTAAGAATAATGTAGGCACAGATCACAGTTACAATAAGATTTCAAAAAATGTCTTTTTTATTGTATCAGAACAAAACAGCTGTAATCTTTTAAAGTCCATTTCTGAGCCTGAGAATAGTTGAGATTTGAGAGGGAAGAAGGAACCAGCAGCTCAAAGAATGGCCCTGCCATTCTAGCATTTCTTTCTGAAATGTTGTAAAGAAGATGTGCAAAAATGAGCTCCTAAGAAATAGACATGACTATGTCAGATACCGTTTAACTTAGCTACTTTATTTTTGGTTACTGGGGATTGAACTTAGGCCATTGGGCTTGCAAAGTAGGTGGCAGAATCACTGAGCTAAACCCCCAGCCCTAACTTACCTACTTTAGAAGACCTTGCTTTGGACCATTGATTTAGCTCAGTGGTTTTGGTGCCTGCCTCTCAAGCACAAGGACCCGAGTTCAATCCCTGGTACCAAAACAAAACAAAACAAAAGACAAACATCATAGAAGTCCTTGCTTTAAAATATTTGCTGTCTTTTATGATTATAAAAGTAGGCCGTAATACTATTTTGAATGCTATATTGAATACTATATTTAAAATAACGGAAAACAGAAGTTACAAAGCCAAAGGGAATTTAGAAGAAGTCCAATTTCTTGACTGACCACCCTGGATTGTGGGCTTGGTTTTACCACCAAGAGGCACTGTGATCCTAGAAGAGTCTTTTAGGATTTTCAAACTTCAGTTTCCTTCTCTGGCAGATGGGAACTGCCATAAGTCCCACCTCCATTAAGATGTCAGGAGGATTCTAGGATAAAATCTGCTTATTAATATTGTGCTTCTTCACTAATGATAACCCATAATAATAAGCTATTACCAAAGCCCAGTAAATCCTAGTAGTTGTGACTATATCACAAATCAGTCTGTAAGCTAACATAGTTCTCTAAACTTTAGTGACCATGATCGTTTCCATTTCCGTATGACTTTTCTGAGAGAAAGCTCAGATATCTATATCCAGTATAATTTTGCTCAATTCCCTTTTAAAAAAATCATCGCTTTTGAATCTGGAACCTTAATCATTTTCAATGACCCTGCTTTTCAGCCATCACTGAGTTTGGCCAAAGCTTCCAAAGGATGGCAGGAGAAGATGGAACTAAAATCCAAATGAGAAACATAGTGGATGAGAGATTATTCAGATACAATTAAGAGAAGAGAAAAATTCTAGACCCCACCACCCACCAGGCTCACAAAAAGCCACTTCAAGCTGAGGTCAGCTGGCTTTCTGGTGACTTGTGTCACAGCTGTGGGAAATCAGGAGTGCCCTTACTGTTGTCCTGGCCTCTCTGTTTCTGTGCGGCTGCAGGAGGAGCAAAGGGGCCTGTTTCTGTGAGCTCCGGCCAGTCTAAGGCCAGAGTCAGACTGTGTTAGTAACACAAAAGCAGTTGACAGGGCTCCCCCGGTGATTTTTTTTGAGCAAAAAAAAAAAAATGTATGTAGGAGTCAGTAATGGTTCTCCTCTGAAGTCAGATAGCTGAGACTGCAAACCTATATTGTATCTTTTGTAGCTTTTATTGGATCTTTCTCAGTCTTTCAGATTTCTTAAAAAATATTACTCTATCATTTGAAGGAGAGAGCAGAGATGACTGTGAGCCGAGTCTGATGTCCTCGCGACTTTTAAAATTTTCTTTTCATAAGACAGGGCCATGAGACAAGTGAACAACTGATATCTGGAATTTAATTTTAAAAGCAACTATCTGAGCATGGCATGGAGTCAGCAGGGAGCTGGCCCAGTTTGTAAGTTTGTAGTCCTGGGTCCGGTTTCTTGATTTCAGTAATAACCCCGAAAAAAGCCTATTTTATACCCTTTTAATTTTTGGACAACCATATTTTATGCATCTGTCGACTTTGCATTAACAAGATCATCATTTGCTTACCAGAACATCCTATTTCCCACCACCAGAAAGTAGTGCTTAAATCTGTCCTCTGCCAGTCTGATGAGATCACAAGTCACTGAGCAAACAGACATAGTTTTTTAAAAATCTCTCTATTGAGATACAAGTGACATTGAAAAAGCTGTAGATATTTAGTGCTTGGAGATAAGCACACACCCAGGAAGCCATCATCACCATCAATGCTACAAGGTTATCTTTCACCTGCAAGTTTCTTCAGGTCCTCTCGCTTTTTGTTTCTGTTTTGTCTTCTCCTTTGTGGTATGAGCAGTTGACATAGCATCTACACTCTTAGCAAACTTTTAATACAGTGCAGCACTGTATAATATTTTACATGAATTTGTTTGTTTGTTTTTGGTACTGGGGATTAAACTCAAGGCCTTTGCACTAAACTACATTCCCAGCCTTTTCTCTTTGGTTTTCATTGTGAGACATTGTCTTGCTAAGTAGCAAAATTGCCCAGGTAGGGATGGAATTTATGATCCTCTTGCCTCAGCCTCCTAGAGTGCAGGGATTACAAGTAGAGGCCACCAAGCTCAGTTTGCACAAGATTTTTAAGGGCCTTTGACTCATTTGGGACACCATAACAATTGACACAAGGATCTACAGCTTAAACTAGAAGCAGGAAGCCAAGAAATTCAAGATTTCCCAGGGAGAAGAACTGGGAACATTAGAAACCAAGTAAACATGCAGCCAGCAATGACTCAGATGTCTGAGCAAGGTAATGAGAGCCCACCCCTCCCAGGCCTCCCTAAAATTCTCTCTTCTCCCTGATGGATACCATCTGCTTTCTCTGCTGTTGACAGAAGAATGGCTGGCAAAAGGGGACAATACCTACCCTACAGGCTTGGATCTAATCTGTGCCCCTCAAAACTAGCTCTTAGCATACATGCTGCTTTTCACTTATTTTTTTTCCTTTTTTTTTTTTTTGAGACAGGTTCTCACTATGTAGCTCAGGCTGGCCTCCAACTTGCAGTGATCCTCCTGCCTCAGCCTGGTGAATGCTGGGATGACAGGTGTGTGACACTATGCCTGACTTACTTTTTACTTTTTAAATTTAAAAAATTATATAAACATACATACATTGTACAGAAATTTTTCTCATCACAGGAAAACAAAAAGAAAAGAAAAAAAAAATAGGGAAATCTCTATACTCTACCAGACTCACTGTGAACTGAATTTTCTCCCACGTATATTTTGTATATAGCTGAGATTGTACAAAACTAACATTTCCTAGTGTCAGTCATCCAGCGACCGCATCATAGCTCCTGTGATGCATCGCAATGCAGGCAAACATCCGCCATGCCAGTCGCTTAGGCTGCTTCCTGTGTGTGATTGAAAATACCACTGTGCATAAATCTTTTCTGTATTTGGCTATTACAAAGTGAAGGGGTTTGCACACGTTAAAATTCCCACCACCCAGATTTCAGCAAGAAGAAGCGGGGTGTGCCCATGTTCCTCTTGGTCCTCTCCTCCACCTTGGGTCACCCTCCTTTCACTACCCAGAAAGCGGCTGGCTTTGCTAGGGCCCAGGCCAGTCGATTGGGAAAGAGCAGCCTGGGTGACACAGGAGTGCATCTCACCATGGTGCTGGTGCTTAACGTGCTGCACTCCCTCGGGTGATGGACAGCTCCCCAGAGGGGATGGGCAGAAGGAGAAGGCCAGAGAGTCACATCTAACAAGGCCTGTGGGTGCCTGGGACAGGTGGTGGGAAGACAGTAGCACAGCTGCAGAGAGTCTTTCCGGAACTCCTTGGGTGACGGTGCAGTTGCCTGTGCCACCGCACTTCTGTACACTTCCCAGCTCTCAGCAGGCATCTCCACTGCACTGCAAAGGCACGGTGAAGGAGTCCCTTCTTGTCACTCTGCGGCAGTGGTAGGTGACGAACACAAGAGACGTGGGACAGGACTGGCCCTGGATGTGAGGTTTATAATCCTGTTTCGGTTTTCCTTATCTAAAGAGAGCCGAAGCATGTCGGGTAGAGGAGATACCTACCCTAACCTAATAGGGCAGGGTCACTCAATGCCACAGACAGGTACAAGCCCGCGGTTCCCAGGATGCAGTGAGGTGGATGAGTGTTTGTCAGTTATCCCAGATGCACCCCTGCACTTCCCCATTAGAGGAATGAGGACATAGTTATATTTTTATATGAGAGGCCTCCCTGAATCTATCCTGGTCCTGGCATGGGATGGCTGTGTGACAATGGGAAGTTGATTCCAATCTCTGTGCTTTAGTTTTCTCATCTAAAAATTAAGATTGAAAGTAGATACAACCTCCTGTGGTTGCTCTGAAGATTACAGTTAATAGGTGCAGTGCCCTTAGATCAGGGGCCCCCACACTTACGTTGGGGGCTTGTTATTAAGACCAAGGCCCTAATGACTCTGGCAATTTGTCTTCAGTGATGCACAAAGTTTTGAGCAGTGGTGTCCAGTTTTCATAGTGAGTTACCCAGCATTAAAAACAACTCAGAAGGAGCTTCCCTTCCGTCCTTTCCTCCTACCCTACCCTCAATGCTGCCATTCACACACCAAAAATATTTCTTATTTATTGCAAGTAGTGATTACTTGGGAAGAAAACAAAGCCTACTATTCTTCATTTAGGGTAAAAAAATAAAGCTTAGAGTAGTTTGTCACTTCTTTTTTTTGGAGGGGTACTGGGATCGAACTCAAGTCCCTGCACTTACAAAACAGGTGCTGGAAACCACTGAGCTAAATCCCCGGCCCAAATTTAGAGTAGGTTAAATGAGGTAAATCCATTGGCAAATTGACTACTGCTACTGTGTAAATGACTACCACTGAGTCTTTTCTAAGAGAGTGAAAACTGGTGTCCTGGGGTGGGCACCAGTTATGCAACTGTCTAACAAATGAGCTCCTGACATGAGGTCACAGAATACAGCTTGCTGTTTTTAGGACGCCAGCAACATCTCCCTGGGCCGTACTGCGCCTGCCTGGTGTTGACATCCTGAGCACCATCCTTTGTGAGCCCAACAAAGAGAACATGCTGGCAATGTGTTATATCTCGGCTTTGCAGCCTAATCATCCAGAGACCTTGCACGGAGGAGGGGAGTGGACCCAACTCACCTTCTGGCCCCAAACCCTTTCACCTCGCCATGTGTCTCTGAATCCTGCCCTGTGCTGGTGATTGCTCTTCCTGCTGTGCCATCTGCTCATACTTCCTGCTGCTCTCTTTCCTTCTCTCTCAGCAAAACCTGCTATCAGGGACAGACTTGGTGTCAGTTATTTCCCAGTTCCAAGTGCAAATCAAGTCCGAATGTGGCTGACTAGTTAAGTCATAATGGCTCTTTCCCTGCTACTGAGGGTTTTTCAGAGGTTTCTTTAGAGGTAAGGAATCTATGGGGGCCAGGTTGGGGGATAGGGAGAGCGTCTCAGAGCCCCTAACCTTGACCCCTACAGGCGGCCATGTTCTCTGTCCACTCATAAAGCCGTACTTGGCATCAAGAGCCTTTGCAACTTGACTGGCTGGGTTTCGCTTTGTGGTTAAGATCCACTGCTCCTACAGTTGCAGGAGGCCAGCCTTTCTTCAGGTGGGAAACGGTGGGATGATCATTAAATTGAAGTCAGAAGCCTTGAAGTACAATGTGCCGTCCCAACTCTCCAGCTCTGCAGATTGCTTAAACTCTCCCTGGGGTTGTGTCCTAAACTGTAAAAAGAGATGTGTCATTATTTATCTTCCAGGGTTACCAGGAGGATTAAAAGAGAGCTCCCAGGGAGAGCCATTTGTTCAGGCATTGCTAACTTTGCAGTCTTTGAGCTCACTGTCATTTTTCAGCTCACGTGCACCGCCATGCCTTCTTAGCCCGTAGGCGTAAATCCTAGGACCCTACCTCAGCAACATGATGTTTTAGTTAGATAGTCATGCTGTATAACCCCTTTTAACCAGAGGCAAAGAAACACTCAGTAGGGAGCTAATAAATGTGTCTTCTCTCATTGGCGCAAACAAGGAAGAATTTGTGAGTATGGTTCTCTACTTTGAGGCAAAATATGTTTATTTTGGTTACTAATAAGACAGGCAGTCTTATTAGCCTGCAAGAACTAGAGGGAAGTGATATGGAAATACTGGTAGAAATCTTTTTTGCCTGAAGGGACAAGCTGAGAAATGAGCTGTTGGCACAAAAGTTGCCCTTGGCAACACTGGGTGGGAAGGGGAGGCAGGATAGGTTCCTCCCGGTCACAGAGGGCAGGACATTCTCTAAGTTTAGGGAGCGTCAATGGTGGGACTGCTACTGCCCAGCCTGCTGACAGGGTCCTTTTGTCATCCTCAGCCCAGCATCAGCGGACTGGACCTTGACAAGTTCCGGGGGATCCTCCTGCGTCACTGCGACGTGAACAAGGATGGGAAAATTCAGAAGTCTGAGCTGGCTTTGTGTCTTGGGCTGAAAACCAGCCCCTGATCTTCACATGATTTGCCATTCACCCTTGCCGTGTTTCTGTGCTCTTGCTGCTGGAATTGTATCTTGTGCTTTGCCTCTTGGGATCCAGTGGGCAAACTTTTCCACCTTAGCTTGGTGTTCTTGGGGGAGCGAGGGATGCGAAGGCCCCTTCCAATGGCAGGCACGGTCCTCCAAGCAGCAGCTGAGTCCTCTTCCCCTTGACCCTAGGCTTTCCTGTCCCCTACAAAGACTCAGTAACCTGTTAGATCTGCTCTGCTCCTCTTCCCCTGCCACCTGGTGGCAGGGACAGCTTGGTCCATCCATCCCTGCTCTTCTCGTGGGCTCTCCGCTAAATGGAAGTGTGTGTGACAGCTGTGGCAGTTCTGTAACTTCTGCAAGTAGATTGTTCTGTGGAAATAAATCTGCAGTTGAAGAGATGTCCTGGTAATTGCCTTTGTGATCTCTGAGATGTTCTCCCTGATGGCTGGGAAGAAAAAACACTAACTTGGAGGGCTTAGGGAGAATGAACCCAGGGAACAGCGTGGAGGCAGGTGTTACTCATTATACCTTTTAATCGGACAGGCGATCAGAACACTCATCCCGGACTGGATTTTGTTCTTAAGAGCTTGGTTAATACGCCTGGCTAGGCAGCAAAGATTACAGAAGAAATGTGAAGAAAACATCTACCAGGCAACCCAAACCCATGTTCCCCACTCCACCCTACCCCCCAAAATCATGTCCTGTGACAAATTTGGAACCACTGAGGCTACTCGCATGCCCCACACGCCTACTGTGGGCGTCGTGCTGTGTGCAACCCTGCTCACTTCTCTGCTGGGACTCTGACCTAGTCCTGTGACCAGTGCCTGCTTCCTCGTGCAGAGGAAGGACGGGGAGATTGATGGGGAGTGGGCCTCGCTGTGCTTTCTGACGCACACACTTCCTTTTCCATCCGTCTCGGCCCTGTTTCAGACCATGCAGGAACTTTAGACTTCCAGAAGTATTCTAGATGATTCAGAAAACTCATTGCTTAGGAGCTGCTCCTAACGGAAGGATCCCTCCATTCAGAGGGATCCCTCTCCTAGGCACTCACTGGGCCTAACCTGATTCTCATCTACTCTGAAGTGTTAAGTATTTCCTGTGTGCCACGTGCTTCTCAGTGCTTTCCATACCTTAAGCAATGTACTCATCAGCAAATCCCTTTGATGTAGGTACTGTCATGACATCTATCCTAGAGATGATAAAAACTGAGGCAGAAAGAAGCTAAACATGCCCATTATCATACTTCTCCAAAGGGGTGCCTGGGATTCCATGCTTCGGTTTTTTTTTTGGACCTTTCAGGATACCGCAGCCCTCCTCACAGTCTGGGCTCTGTCTGGATCCCTGAGGCCCGGAGGAAGACATTTCTCCAGGTCTGTGCCCTCAATGCTGGCTACGCTTCACTGCATCCAGGAAGCAGTGGAGAGCGGACAAACACGCCAGCTGCCTCTCCTAGCGCGCGCTTCCACGGACCCACTTTCACTTTCAGAGTTGAAACTGACAGAAGCCACAAGAAAGGAAGAAAAGTTCCCGACTCCAGAACACCTCATTATTCTGCAGAGTGCTAATTTCTCCTCTTACTCCCTGTTTTGTTGTTATTAAACAGCAGAAGCCCTTTACTGTAGTTGGATTTATTTTATGCTTTCATTGCAACACTTTGATTTTTGGTTTAAGAAATCCCCCTCTACGTCACAAGGCACCTTCTCCTACTTCTTTCTTTTTTTTAACTTTTAAAAATCTGCCACTTTATCCATTTCATCTGTCTACACGTCCATTCCTCATCTGCACAGTAAGATTTGTGACATCCAGGAGAAAGGATGTTGTATGCTGAGGCTTTGAGCACACTTCTTGCTGGCACCATTCAAATGCACAGCAGGTCAGATCAGTGACAAAAATTATTTTTTAAATGCTGCTCACAAACATGACAAGCTTCCTCCTGTAGGATGTAGCTGGACCTGAGGTCCTTCTGGGCTACACCCTTGCAGGACAGAGTGGGCAGCAGCAGGTACCAGAAGGGCCCAGAGTGGGAGGCAGGAGCCCTCACTTCTTGAAACCAGGTTCTGGAGATGAAATTCCTTTTCAGCCATGGAAAGAGGCTACAGGTGCTGCTGGACCTAAAGTTTATGACTGGCTCATCCCTCCATGAGCTAGGCAGAAGCTGACCCAACTTTATAACCTAAGCCTGTGGCTCTGCAAGGCAACCTTTGACCCAGTATTTCTGGAGGAAACAGTCCAACGCCCCAGTCCTAGTGCCCCATTCCCAGCACAAGATTGGGAATCTCAACCACGGTCCTGAGCCCAGTCTGATGCAAGCATTAAACCACTGGGCAGCGGGTGGCAGTTATTCACACAAGCCTGCAAGATAATTCTAAAGCTCAGTAAGGAAAGATAGGAGGTGTCAGCATGGGAATATATCGAATCCTAAACCTAGTCAATAGAGATAAACCACATCAGACACCTGATATTGAAAAGCTATCTGAGAAGAGAATTATTTATAAAAAATGATAATTATCTTGTAGTACTAGTTAGGATTCTTTAGAGGAACGGACTCTATAGAAATATACGTAAAGTTATGCAAGAGGAGGCACCAGGTAGGCCTACAGGGTCAGAGTCAGGAGAGTCCATTAAGGACGCCACTGCCGTGGGAGGCTGAGGACGAAGGAGCTGCGAAGCCCAAGAAGACAGAAGGTGTAGGATGAAGGGGCTCAAGGATGCAGTGTCAGTTTGAGGTAGAAAGCAAGTTTGTGTGGGAAAGCTTAAGAAACTGGAGAGCGATGTCCAAAGGCATAGCAGCAAAAAAGCAACCATTCAAGAAGACTAGAGCTCTTTACAGTTAGGTACATTTTCTTCTTTTCCGTTTAGTCCATATAGGCTACAAGCCTATTGGGTGGTGCTACCCACATCCGGGGTAGGCTTTCCCCTTCAGTTTGCTGGTCAACGTGTCAATCACCCACAGACACACCCAGATCCATGCTCTGCTAATCTGCTAGGCAGTCAAGTTGACAAACCATAATTAATATTCAAAATTGTCCATAGATTCTTATTAACAAAGCCAAGTTATAACAGAATGGAGCAGTTCCAGGTAGTGAAGGAAAATAACTTCACCTACATACCTTGCCTCCCTAAATGATCTCTCAAAATTAGGGTAAAATATTTCAGATAGAGAAAACATTAGGAGTCCTTTCCCCATTATCTTCATGTATTATTTTATTTTATTTTTTTATCTGAGATGCTGGGACTCAAACCTGGGAACTCGTGCATACTAGGCAAGCACTCTACCCCTGGGCTACACCCCCAGCTCCTCCTCCTCATATGTTCGTAGTGAAAGAACTCAGAAAGAATGTATTTGAGCAAAGGATAAGTGAGTCCAAAAAGAATTGTGGGATGCATAAACTGTAAAGTGATTTGAAAAACCTAACCTGTAGAGGCCAGAGATTTGGTTAAAAAATTAATTTATAAGAATGTTCAGAACTACCCATGGTAGATAAAATTCTATAAACAACCAAAATGGCCAAATGTAAGGATGTAAGTGATGCTGCATCTATAATATAGAACCTTTTCATGTTACAGTGATGGAAATGAGATTTTTAAATGTGAGATGTTTTATCTGATGATTTTTCAGTCTTGTCTAGTCCTAATGGTATAATTCCACTATTCTGATTAATTGGAAAAATAAGATTCGATCATTTTAATTTTTTTAAAACTCCTGACATTTTCTATGCCAAGCTATGTAGACCCCATTATTATTAATAATATAAACTCTTCAGAAAATATCCTCAGTTTTCATATATCATATAATCATCTCAGAAAATGTCTTTGTTGTAAACTATTTTTCAAGGTTTTCTTCAAATTTTGGTAGCAGAGTGAAGAAAATTTCTTTTTTTCAGAAGAAAAAGATGGAAGAAATTTGAAAAAAAATGTATTTAAGATCATTGAGAGAATAAGCAAATTGGAAATTGCTAAAAGTGAACTGGACTGAATTAGGAAATATAGCCAAAGCAGATATCTGATCAAGGGTGATTTCAATAGTTTGAAGACACGCTTGGCGGGTGAGGGGGAGGACTCTCCTGATTCGTTCCATTAAGCTCAATTAGAAGAATGGACTCCCAGCTGTGTGTGGAGGCTGACCGTGAAAATAAGCAAAGGGTGAGTAGCTTTCAAGAAAGATAAAGCCTGTCATGCATTTCCTCTGATATGATTTCTCTCAGCCCCACCCTCCAAGTGTATGTGTCATAAAAAAAAAAATGTATGCATCTTTTTTTTTTTTTTTTTTTTTACCAGATATTGAACTTCAGGACCGCTTGCAAGGCAGGCAGTAGAACCACTGAGCTAAATCCCCAGCCCACATCATCTTTTTAAAATGGAATCAACACTTGCATGGAGCCTAATTAGTTTTAAATATTTTCTTGACTTATTTTTGGCGTGAGAAAATAACTATGGTGTTGCAGAAGAGTTAAGGTTAATCATTTTCACAGGAGCATCGTTTCCCAGGAATTGCAGCTTCACAGAATTCCTTTAATTACTGTGTGCATTAGTTTGTTAGAGATTAAAATGATAAGCCCCATGTTTTTGTACTCTAGATTACAAAGAGAACATCTCTTATTTCGTCTCATATCCACCATCATCCATGGCTTGCCCATCTTCTGCTTGCACATTACCAGGAAAACCTCAGGCTAGTGAAAATATAGCATTTACTCTTGCTTTTATTTCATTACTTCGAATCAACAGGATCCTCATTGAGACCAGCCGCTTAGCTGGGATGTTGTCTGCATGGAAGGTGTTATAAATTGACAACCTATGTACTTTTGTATCTTCTGTAGCCCGTGAGGATCATAGGCTTTATTACATATATGACTTTTCCTATTTTGCAAGTATTTATGTGTTTAATACATGCAACATCCCAGCCCTCTTCTATGTGCTTTGTATACAATATGATCAAGACACAAGGGCCTGCTGCTGTGGCCTTACACACAGGTGTGTGCACTGCTCATTTCCTACTCCCACACTGTTACTTTTTGCTCATTGCTGAGACAAAATACCCAACACCCAAGTTAGAGGGGAAGGGGTTTAGTTGGCTTACAGTTCCTAGAGGTTTCAGTCCATAATCAGCTGGCTACAAGGGAGGGTGGCAGAGGGGCAACAGTTCATGGCAGAGGAAGGCAGCAAAAGCAACAAGAGAAACAGTTGGGAGGAGGAAGACATCAAAAAGCAACAAAAGATCTTAAAAGTGTCTTTCTGCTGCTTCTGTTTTATTCAGACTATGGGGATTAGGGCCGTGCCAAATCAATCGTGAGCAGTGGTTTAGTAATCACACGCCCTTATTCCTAGTATCACACATTCTAGATTTAGCTACCTCCAAAAAAGAG